TATTAAATCATAACTGCCTAAAATTAGCTATAGTACATAATGTGCTGCTGGAATAATTTTGTAGTCACTTCCTGTTGCTATTGCAGTGAGCTCAGGTGTTATATCACTTAAAGTGCTGTGTGATGCTAATCTCCAGATGAACAATTTCTGTCTCCAGAAAACTGCATTTTGCAGTAAAAAGTGAACTCTCATGGTTCTCATGTATTGTTCATTGTTACTAGCACAATAATGTGAACCTTGACACCATGGAAGGAAGCCATACAATGGGCTATAGTGATGCTGGAAATACTGCAAAATATTTTCTCTTTCTTATGACTTTGTTAATAACATTTGTTTTCTCTAGCGTACTTTAACAGTCTAGAATTCATAAAACATAAAGATATGTGTTAATTGACTGTTTATGTTATAGGTAAGGTTTCTGGTCAACAGTAGGCTATGAGTAGTTACATTTTTGTGAAGTCAAAAATTATATGTGGATTATCAAGTGTGCAGAGGTGTCAGTGCTCCTAGTCCCTGCATGAAAGATCAACTGTACTAAAGGGAACAACTAGAATAAACACTGTAAAACTGGATCAGAATTGAAAGTATTGGTAAGAACCCATGGTTTTCAACATATTTTAATACAGAAATATAGATGAATGTATGCATGTATGTACGTGTATTTATATATACACATGTATTGCCCTGCTGTGTTCACTGAGGAAGCCTGTGAGCAATGAAAACCCCTGAAGCCATACACTCACCTATCATAATGAGCATCCAAGACCTTGGTTTTTAGATATTATTTTCTCCTAAAAAGAAATCAGCTTTTCTAAGAAAAATGGCTAATTCCAGGCCTGAAGCATAGAAAATATAAGCTTGGAGCATCTTGTTGTACCAGAAAGTACAAAGTGCTCAAGGAATAATGGAGACAGGCCACAAAGATGTGAAGTCAGCTTGAAATGGCTGCCATTGGACAAATCTGGGAGCACCTGAGCACCACAATCACAAGACGTCTCCCTATTTGTTTGTTGAGTTTTTTTTTTAAAATAATTTATTATACTTTACATTCTGGAGTATATGTGTAGAATGTGCAGGTTTGTTAAATAGGTATACACATGCCATGGTGGTTTGCTGCACCCATTAACCTGTCATCTACATTAGGTATTTCTTCTAACTAACACTATCACTCCCTATCCCCTCAGCCCGCAACAGGCCCCAGTGTGTGATGTTCCCCTCTCTGCGTCCTCATTGTTTAACTCCCACTTACGAGTGAGAGAGAACATGTGGTGTTTGGTTTTCTGTTCTTTCATTAGTTTGCTGAGAATGATAGTTTCCAGCTTCATCCATGTCTGTGCAAAGGACATGAACTCATCCTTTTTTATGGTTGCATAGTATCCCATGGTGTATATATGCCACATTTTCTTTATCCAGTCTACCATTGATGGGCATTTTGGTTGGTTCCAAGTCTTTGCTATTGTGAATAGTGCCACAATAAACATCCATGTGCATGTGTCTTTGTAGTAGAATGACTTATAATCCTTTGGGTTATATCCCAGTAATGGGATGCTAGGTCAAAGGGTATTTCTGGTTCTAGATCCTTGAGGAATCGCCACACTGTCTTCCACAATGGTTGAACTAATTGACACTCCCACTAACAGTGTAGATTTTGTTTTAATAATTTATCCATGCAGAAAAAAATGAAAGAATAAGAGAATCATTATCTGGAAATAATCATAATAATTCAAGTAATAATAATCAGTGAAATGCTACTCTAGTGGGTGAAATTCTGAGAAGCCAGATATTTACAAAGCTTCAAAGTATCTTCACACGGATAGTTGGGTAAATAATAGCTTTACCATGGACAAACGTGTCAGATTCTCCTTAACTAAATAATAAGAGTTAACATTGGCCAGTATTGGAACCATGTGACAGCATATGCCTCCAGACATGCTGCACTGGGAAGAACTCAGCCTCACTTGCGCAACATTCCTGCCCTAATGGCATAACTTAAATCTAAGTATGAGGAAACATCATATGAACCCAAATTTAGAGGAAATCTACAAAATAACTGGCTTATATTTTTCAAAACCATAATGCCATGAAAATCAAAGACAGACTAAGGAACTATCTCAGATTTTAAAGAAACAGGACAATTGAACACAACACATCATGGACTGTGAAAATCCACCCACCTGGATTTTCTATGGCTCTAAAAGATATTATGGAGACAGTTGGCACCTCTAAATAAGGGCTGTAGATGATTAGATACTAATGTTAACCAAATTTTAATTTCCTGACAAGTTGATTATACTACAGCTGTTTAAGATAAGTCCTTGTTTTTAGGAAATACACACTAAAATATTAGAAGTAAAGAGGAATTGGGTCCCAAACTTATAAACAGTTCAGGAAAAAAGTCTATGTTATATACCTACATTTATATTTATCTAGAAAGAGAGAAAAAGAAAGAATAGAGCAAATGTAAGTAGTCAAATGTTAACATTTGGAAAACTGTACCCAAGAATTCTTTGTACTACTCTAACAAGTTTTCCGTAATTCTGGAATTATAAAAATAAAACATATCTAAAAATAAAAATCAATTTTTAAAACTATTTACAAATTATAACCACATGGAATGAAATGAACCATGAAACCAACAAATCAAAAGTTCAATGAAGAACAAATACATTCACATAGTCTCAAATTTCCTCCCCACAGAATACTAATTACAAGGTGAAAAAGTAACATAACAGAGGGGAAATCCAGAAAATACCACTACTGGTGATCAAGGCTAACATCACCAGTAATAGGACAAATCAAAATTTTAGGTCACATGATAGCATGCAATGAAATCATAAGATACTCATCAAAAACATATGATCTAAGTCTAATCATAGAGAAACATCAGAGAAACCCAACTGAGGAAGTTTCTACATTACTGGACTTAATTCTTCAAAAGATTCAAGATCATAAATGCTAATAGAGTGAGTCACTTTTCTAGACCAAAAGAGTCTAAGAGACATGGCAATTAAATGCAATCCATGGTTCTGAATGGGATTCTTTTGCTATAAAGGACATTATAGACAAATAATAAAACTTAAAAAGAATCTGAGGATAACATGATTGAATATATTCATGTTATCTTTCTGATTATGAAAGTTGTATTGTAGTTATATAGAATGTCCTGACTTGTAGAAACATTCACTAAAGTAATCAGGGGTGATTTCATAATGTCAGTAATTTATTCTCAAGTGGCTACAGGGGAAAAAGTTCTTTGTATTAAAACTTGAAACTTTTCTCTATTTTTTTTTTGTTTGTTTGTTTTGAGATGGAGTTTCACTCTTGTTGCCCAGGCTAGAGTGCAATGGTACAATCTTGGCTCACTGCAACCTCCGCCTGCCAGGTTCAAGTGATTCTCCTGCCTCAGCCTCCCAAGTAGCTGGGATAACAGGCCGTGCCTAGCTAACTTTTTTGTATTTAGTAGAGATGGTGTTTCACAATGTTGGTCAGGCTGGTCTTGAACTCCTGGCCTCAGGTGATCCACCTGCCTCGGCCTCCCAAAGTGCTGGGATTACAGGCGTAAGCCACTGTGCCTGGCCCTTCTCTCTAATTTTAAGACTGTTTCCAAAAAGTTAATCAAAAATAAACAAACAAACAGAAATGGTGAACAGCCTTAGGCAAACCTTATTTTTCAACATTCTATATAATTCAGTGTTGAAAATTAAAATTATATAACTTTGATAGAATAGTAATAATTGTAATACATCTAATATTGACAATGACCACAGTACCAGTGTATAAAAATGATTTGTCTGTCTATATCTAAATCTAAATCCCTAAATATAGTGGTAAAAATTATAAAATACCAGTAAGTCATCAATTTATTCCACTAAAGTATTAATGACAACTTTGTTGTTTGGTTGTTTAAACAGCTGAAATGTGGGCAGTTTGAGTATGTAAAACTCAAAAACTCTGGTTTTCATTTGCAAGATTCACTGAAAAGTTAAAGAGACCAAGGAACATAATTTAAAACACTATATAAATTATCTTTAGACATATAAATACAAAAATATTTTCATTTAATAAACATCTTTGCATGTGACACATTTAATGGGAAACAAAATATCATGTTAACAGCCTAGTAATAAAATTTTATTACCTTTCAGATTTTTTTTCGTTTGTCAGCACACATTCTTGTTTTGTTTTTGAGATGCAGTCACCCTGTCACTCAGGCTGGAATGCAGTGGTGTGATCTTAGCTCACTGAAACCTCTGCCTCCTGAGTTCAAGTGATTCTCCCACCTCAGCCTCCTTTGTAGCTAAACCTACAGGTATTCGACACCATGCCCAGCTAATTTTTGTATTTTTAGTAGTGACAGGGTTTCACAATATTGGCTAAGCTGGTCTTGAACTCCTGACCTCAAGTGATCTGCCCGCCTCAGCCTCCCAAAGTGCTGGGATTACAGGCATGAGCCACTGCACCCGGTCAGCACGTATTCTTGTTATGCTTTTAAAACTAGTTATTGATTTAGATTTTACTCATTAATAGATTCTAGTGCAGAAGCTATAGAGCAGCAGTCCCCAACTTTTTGGCACCAGTGACCAGTTTTGTGGAAGACAATTTTTCCACAGATGGGGGTTTGGGGAATGGTTTCAGGATGATTCAAGCACATTACATTTATTGTGTACTTTATTTCCATTATTATTACATCATAACATATAATGAAATAATTATACAACTCATCATAATATAGAATCAGTGGGTGTCCTAAGCTTGTTTTTCTGTAACTAGATGGTCTCATCTTGGGGAGATGGGAGACAATGACATATCATCAGGCATTAGAGTCTCATAAGGAGCGTGTAACCTAGATCCCTTGAACATGCAGTTCATGATAGGGTTTTCACTCCTATGAGAATCTAATGCCTTCACTTATCTGACAGGAGTTGGTGCTCAGGTGGTAATGTGAGCAAGGAGGAGTGACTGTATACAGATGAAGCTTCACTTGCTTGACTGCCACTCACCTCCTGCTGTGCAGCGTGGCTCTCAACAGGTCTTGGACCCCTCTGTGGCCTGCGGGTTGGGGACTCCTGCAATAGAGGACTCAGATTTAAATTTAGAGGAAGACAGGATGAAAAAGAAAGAATTGTATTCTTTATCTAAATGACTTCATAGTTAGCTAAGATAAAGTCAGTAAAACTTGAAAAGTTTATCAGCATTAATAAGAATGAAAAATATGCACAATATGCAATTACTCTTAAATATAATTTGCCGATAGTTGCACACTGAATTCCTTATCATGGTAGCTAAGTATCAGAGGTTCTCGTTTTTTCACTCTTCATTCATGTATTTAGCAACCATGTGCTGAGGTACTAGGACAAGCACTGGAATTACAAGATGAAGATGATACAGTCCACCCCTCAACAACTGTTTGCTATAATCTGAAAAAACAAACAGGCAATTCCCATAGAGAGTCATAGAAACAATGACAGGCATTTATCAGAAGACACAGAAGAGATACCAGCCCAGGTTTGTGTCAATATTGTAGGCTTTTTGGTGGAGGTGATTCATAGGTTGATAACTGAAGGATAAAGAAAATACACGTAGGATAGAGGGAAGAAGTAAATGCAAAGAGCTGGAGATGAGGACAATCACTGTGGAGCTCCATGTAGTCTAGTGTGGCTGGATGCTAGAACAAAGGGGCAGAGTATGGTGAGTGGTTAACAAGACATAACTATACACTTTCTTATGATTATGTTTTCACATTTTTCACTAAATGGATATAAGAAAAAATATTTAATGTAGTTTTTACTAACCAAGCAATGGAGAGGAATACAGTACACTACTTACATTTTATTTCAGAAATCAATGATTTGAATTTAATTCATAAATTTTGGCAACATACCTTCATCTACTTCTGTCGTTTCATTTTCTTGCAACACCTGTTGCCTCTGAAATAAATCAAATATTACTTATAATGTTTCAGTCAAACAAAAGACATTACCATGGAAACCTATTGTAAGTCAAGGAGCATCTGTACTGTAGATTGATCATTCCTAATCTAAAAATCTGAAATTCAAAATGCTCTAAAATCTGAAACTTTTTGAGCATAGACATGACACCACAACTGCAACATTCCACACCTTACCTCATGACAGGCTGCAGTGAAAACAGTAAAAACTACTACCTGCAAAAAATTACTGTAAAACATTGTAGAGAATTACCTTCTGGCTATGTGTATAAGTTGTATAAGAAACATAAGTGAATTTCATGTTTAGGTTCAGGTACCATCCCCAAGATATTTCATTAGGTATATGCAAATATTCCAAAGTCTGAAAAAAATCTGCTTCTGGTCCCAAGCATTTTGGACAAGGGATATTCAGCCTGTCCTACTGGAAAAATAAAATTCCTTTTCAGTATGACAGAAATTAAGAGATTGGCTTACCAAAGTTGAATTTTGCATGATTTTCTGAAGCTGCTCAATTTGGTCGTCTTGGTTTTTAATTATATTTCTTATCACGGAATTTTCTATTTCAAGCCTAAAATGTGCATTTTAAAATAATTACTGTCACACACAAATTTTTTAACATCATGTAAATTCTAAACAAACTTCTGAAGGTATAATTACACAAATTCTTAGAGATCTTAAAAGTAAATGTTTGGGCAACTGTGTCATTTTTCTACCTAGGAATAATGTAGAAAAATGATGTATTTTAATATAGTTTACAAATGAAACTTTTCCTTGGCTTCACAAAGGCATACTTATTATCATAACTGATAACAATTCTCATACTACAATGCTCTTTTGCTTTATAAATACTCAAGTTATTTTGTGTTCAAACTGTACTTTTGTATGTGGCCTTGCATCTTCTCAGCACGTCTTAAAGTCGCTGTAAGTTGATCTTGTATTTCCTGAAACTAAAACAAAGAATTAAAAACAAACCATTTATATTTGGAAATGACCTAAATGTTCATCAGTAGAAGAATAAATCAACAAAATATAATATATATAAAATATTGTTTTAGACTATCACAGTCTTTTTTATTTAAAAAAGGTCATAATTCAGGAAAAATCATCCCATTACCTGTTTTTTTGTAACTAATTTTACTGGAACACTGCTATACCCCTTCAATCCACAATTGTTTATGGATTCAAGCCATATTGTTTATGGCTACTTTCATGCTATAACTGCAGGGTTGAGTTATTTAAGAGGGATCTTATGGCTTACAAAGCCTTAAATAATACTATCTGGCCCTGTACAGAAAAGTTTACTGATCCATGCTCTAGGACTAAAACACAATATTCTTCTTGCTTTTGAATGATATTTTATCAGATAAATACTCAAACTTACAAATTGGTAAAATGTGGAAAGATAAAGGATTACCTCATGGTAAGCATTTATATTTTTGAATTCCAAACACTACCACATCAACTATAATTTTAGTTTTTTGTATGTATGCATTTAGTTTTATTGTAGCAAAGCAACTTGCACATTTTTAATATTTGAAACTAAGCATCATCTTTTCTTTGTAGGAAAAGTTCAAGAAATTTTAAAAATAAGCAGGAACAAAATTAAAACAAAGTCCATTCTAAGTAAGATCTTACAGGATCGTACTGACTCTCCCATTGAGTAGCAGGACTCAAGCATCATTAAAATAGAAGTCATTAAAAAGCATCATCTTAAACTGCAAGGTGTCCATTAAACATGCTAAAGGAGAAGCCCTGTTGTCTAAATGCCCACTTAACTCACCCAAACATCTCAAACCCACCCTTTGCTGATCTTCTATAACCCCCTTTTTAGTTTAGTTTTTTTTTAATAAACAAGAGAAAATAGATACAGGTTGGCAAATGCTAACTGTCCATGTTCATATAGAGACAGAGTGTACTCTCTGAGCCCAATACAAGGAGAGTAAGGATTTTCATCAAAATAAAAATTTATTCAGTAGAATGGCCTTTCTGTACAAAATTAACCTGAAATCTATGAAATAAGTATACACAGGTTCTTTATTCATTCAGAAAAGTAGAGATTAAAAATAAGATAATTTTCTGAAATATTTCATTAGACATTATCCTCTGAATTAATCTGGCTTTTCTCATCATGGCAATAGAGAAACCACTAAAAACAGACTGTTTAACAGGAAAACAAACAAACAAACAAACAAAAAAAACCTCTCTGAACTTATGTGAGAAAGGATGCATAATTTTCAACTTTCCAAGGTTAAATATTTAAGGAAAAAATATATGTATAAAAATGGCAGAATGAAAGCCAGAGATTAAGAAATAGGTGTATTATAAAGATAAAATTTTAATAAAATTAATAATAATGAAAATACAAAAGAAAGGCATCCACTATAAAATTTTAATAAAATTACTTAAAATTACTTAGAATGAAAATACAAAAGAAAGCCAGCCACTAAAATTAGTACCCCAAAAGCTTTATATTAGTTAACCACCTACAGATTAACTGTTGTTGGCATGTGAAGCTTCATACATACTTGACTTCTCATCTGGCCTGCTTTCTTCTTTGAATCCTCCAGCTCACTTTCTAAATGGATGGAGCGACGCAATGACGCATCCACCAAAGTTTTTGATGTTGATTCTTTGTGTAGGGCATCATCCCGTTTTTGTTGAAGTTGTCTTACAAGTACCTGATAAGATGTTATTTTTGTTACTGGTTTTACAAATCACCTTATTATTGAACCATTAATAATATTTAACTCTAAAGTATACACTTTGAAAAATATCACCACACAGACGAATTCACCTTCTTTTCCTCATATGTACACATTCCTGTTTATTACTGAATCCCATAAGGATACAGAAGGTGTTATCTTCCTATCAAACTAGTATTGTTACTCACACAACATATTCAGCTCACTAGTCATTCCTCCCCTGATGAATTTGTAATGCTTAAAACCTTCTGAAGTATCAAAAAGAAATGAGTATGTGGGTGGGACTGATGGTAGTAAATTACACATTGTGGAATGATTTCCCTCTTTTTTTTTTTTATTAGAAACTCAAATCAACCTCAGACTTCCTCACGTTAAATCATCTGCTTAAATCCTTAAATCTAGTAAAGTTAGATTTCTATTGCAGAACAAAAGTAAAATTCCAATGGCTTTAGATGGCAACCTACCCTCCACCTCCCAACCTGACCTCAGCTGCTATGTCTGACTACTCCATTCCTACTCTACATGAATCCTGCCACTCCTCATTAGTCTGAAATTCTCCTGAGTCTGAAAATTGGGGTCCAATGTCAAACTAATAGATCACAGATAGCTATGCCTCTCTTTGTTCTAGACAAATTTATAACCAAATGATAGTAATTAAGCCTTGACATAAAAATTATAAGCAAATTTTTCATAAAAATAACAAAGTAAATTATAAATGCAAGTAGGAAGATTAAATTAAATACAGTTTGGCTAAAATTTACCACATTTTCCTCATACTATAAGTAAAGTTAGATGCCTTTAAAAAGTGGAATGATCATATCTATATATAATTTGAGATTGAAATAGTTTCAGATTTAAGACAAATAGTTTCAGATTTAAGTCAAATTGACATGAAGAAAAACAAAACTGTACCAACTAAGATATATTTAAAGCTGCTGAAGAAAAATAATTATGACACAGGGAGTACATTTCAGTTCATCTGGAAAATCTGATTTTAACTGTCAAAGTACCCCACTTAATTGAATCAATTTCAAAACACCATTTTAGGTATATGCATTTCCATATATCTCATTTATCATGGCCTTAAAGTGTGGCAACATAAACACATTAAAATTATTATTTCAGCAGCATAAGACTACATTAATATTAGTCTATAATAACTTAAAATTTCATAAGTGACAAATTGACTTTAATCAGAGGAAAGTATCTCTCAGTTCTAACTTTGATTTGCTGGAAACAAGCAATGTTTCTAAGCTGATATAGCAGATATATTTATCATATGTATCCTTTTTTTGTATTCAACTAGATTCAACATTTAGCTCTAACCAAATATTACTTTAAATTTTACTTCAGGAAGTTTGAAAAATACTTATTTTTCTTGATACTCACTTCTCTTTCTGCTTTCTCTCTTTCATACTGACATTGTTTTTCTTTCAAATGATTAACTTCATTGATCAACCTCTTATTCTCTTCTTCTAGCAAAATAGAGCGCTTTCTGTACTCAGCTTGAACATTTTGTACTCTAGCATCACATTTGGCTTGAATATTAATTAATGTTTTTTCTTGATTGTCAGCTTTGTTGTGAGCATCATTCAGTTGCTGTTGAAGCAACATACTTTGTCTATGTAGTTGACATAATCTTTCCTGCTTTTCTATGCATTTTTCTACTTTATCTTGGCCATTTTTGTACATTTTTTCAATGTCCTTCATTTGACACTGTGTTTGGTTTAGGTCTCTTTGCATGCATTCAAAAACCAAAGTCTTTTCTTTCAGAGCCTCTCTTGTGTAACAGAGCTCAGTTTCGAGGCCACTGGACTTACTCTCAGCTTTAGAAAGTTGCTGAGAAAGAATCAGAACATGAGAATTCAAATTTTCCTGTAAATGACACCATTTATCTACTGTGCCCTGGAAAGCAAGCTCTTGGTCTCTTTCTGATGACTGATTTTGATCATGATCACGTAGAACAGCATTCAGTCTACAACGGTATGATTCAATTTCTGTTTCCAGTCTTTGGTTGCTTTCCTTTTCCTTCTCCAGTTTGGAACGGAGCATTGTGTTCTCATCTGTCAGAGCAGTAAGCCGTCCACTAGAACGGGCTATCATTTTTGTTAATGTTTCCCCATTCCATTTTAGAGTCTTTTGAAGGTCTTCATTCCTCCCTTTTATAATTTCAATGTCTTTTAAGTATTTCTTTTCCAGGTTTTGATTTTTAATTGTGTCTACTTCCAGCCTAAGCCTGGCAATTTCATCTTGCATCAAGTGGTTTTTATGCAACAGGTCTTCTTCTTTTCCATGACTATCAGAAATCTAAGCAAAACAAAGAAAACTTAACTAGTACCCAATAGGATAACATATTACGATTGCTTCTGAAATTAAATAATAACCTGTACATTTATACAATGAGAGGGTTGCCATAACTGGATATCTAACTGGAAAAAAAAAGTTGAGTCAAAACCTCAAACCTCATAGAGGTTTGAATTCCCCAAAGTTTAAAAATTTGAAGACAGTGAATCCATGAAGGCTTTTAAGAAACCACTAAATAATTTTTTTAAATCTCAGAATTTAAAAAAGGCTTTTACTGAATTACAACAAACCCCGAGGCATAAAGGAGTAATAACTGTGACTATATTATAAAACTGAGTTTGCATTCTAACACCTAATCTATGCTTCCCCCTAGAGTAAGAGCGTTAGCTTGGCAGATATTTGGACAGATGAATGAAATTTTCCAAATTCTTTAAGTTCCTTTTTCCTAAAATACTGTATAGATATTCTACTTTTCTAATATTGTTGTGGTCAGTTTTAAGAATGACATTTACTGATAAATGATATATCTAGGCATTGTGCTAAGCACTTCTACATGCACAAATCAATGAACTCATTTAGTTATAATTCTACAGTGAAAGTTTAAAAATATAAGCAAGCTGCAGGATTTTTCCCAGGTTTTCTGATTCTACTTCAAGTGCTCTTCCACCAAATCAGTTACTTCTGTTAGGTAGATACACACATACAAAAATAGTCTTTTATTTCCAAACACCAAAAGTCAAGAAAATTAAATTTATTGAGCTCCTCTTAGAAAATCATGACATTATTTGCTATTATGATAACTTTTATTTCCTTTCCATAACATTTGAAACAGTAGTTAACATGAAATAGGGAAAAACATGCTGAACTATATCACTAGGAACAACATTCTTACAATACCATTAAGTATATATTATTGAATATCATTGTTTTCAAAAGGTCTTTGAACTAAAATAAAATATTGATGTCAAGATTTATTATAAATAATTGTAGCTATAAATGCCATGATTCATTTTTTAAGATAAAATAAAATTTTTGGTTTTCGGCCTAAATAATATATACTAAATTAAAGAGATATTATAACTAATATTAATAAAAGTAGAAACATGAAGTTTCACCAAACATTAATTTACCTGATTTGAATCATTTTCCACAGTCTCCAATTCCACCTCCAGTGATTTGATGGCCAGTTTAAGTTGTTTTATCTCTTTGGCGTCTATCGCATATTGCTCTTCTATTATTATCTTTTCCCTAACTTTTTCATGCAACTTTTCAGAATTTCTTCTTTTCTCTTTTTCTTGTAGTATGGCATATCTGTAAATATACTTATCTTAGAATTTATTTTATCAGTGAAGATTAAGCTCTGTGATTTTTTATCTTGCCCAATTTCCACCTAAGGGGTCCAGGGAGTCATGCTCTACAAACCATGGATTCTCATCAGATTGGCTTTATTTGACCCTGTACATTGTGACTTGCTTTTCAATCTGACTCTGGCATAACATTATGAGACAAGGCAGAAAATATTTAATCAAAATATACTTCTTTGCCATGCCTTGAAATTGCCCTGCAAAGTCTCTTGTGGGAAAAAGTCACATTCTATAGGGAATCCCCTTATCTCTTTGTTTTCTTTCCTTTCTTTGCAGAGTCAGGAGATAATCAACAAAGAGCCAGGCACCCTTTTGGGTCCCATAAGAAACATTTTACAACCTGCTTTCTCTCTCTCTGAAATCTGCTGAGAGATTCCTCTGCAAAATAAAACTTTGTCCCCACAATCATTTATCTCAACCTGAACGTTCCTTTCCATTAATCCCAGGTCTTCAAATAAACTCAACCAATTGTCAACCAGCAAATGTTTAAATTTACCTATAGCCTGGAAGTCCCTGCTTTGAGTTGTCCCACCATTCTGAACCAAACCAATGTATAAAATGTATAAAACTAAGCTGCACCCCGACCACATTGGGCACATGTTCTTGGGACCCACTGAGGGCTGTGTCACTCATATTTGGCTCAGAATAAATCTCTTCAAATATTTTACAGAGTTTGACTCTTTTTGTTGATATCAGAAAACAAAACATTCATATGTTGGTTTATTATCCTAATAAAGTTTCTATGTTCTTAAATATTTTTCTTTCTAGTTCTCATGTTTTTAATTTCTCACCTCAATCCCATCCAAAGGACATGTATAAATTGAAGTGTATTGATAAAAGAACATCCTGCAAATCTGTAAGTTTCTGTTACTAGTAACTTTAGCAAATATTATTAAAAAGGATGTTGAAAATTATTCAGTAAAGTTGCAAGATAAAAATTATCTTTTTTTCACACAGTAATTACTCCTCAATTAGAATGGATTATTTAGAGTTAACTAAAATGAAGTTACTTTTTATAAATAAGTCGATATATTCACTAGAAATAAATTTTCATCTTCATGAAACATTGCAGGTTTCCCTTAGCATAATTTACATTGTACGATAGCACTTTCAGATGTCTTTATGAAATATATATCAGCAGATTGCTGTAATCCAAGACTAGATTAAGAATCTAGTATGTTACCCTACACTTTTTAAGATTGTTTTTTGGGTAACACTTTCAACCTATCCTGTTGATTAGTATATATTTTATAAACAATTTTAAAATCTGTTTTAAAACAACACAAGATCTAATATTTAATTAAACAACAAAGAATAATATGTGTCTTCAGCATAGAACTTTGAATTAATTTTATCTATGTAGCAGAGAGAGATGATGAATAAGCTAATCAGTAATCACTTTCCATTTTACTTTTTATTCCCTGCATATTAAGAATAAAATGATAATTTTTGTTTGTTTATTTTTCGAGAGGGAATCTGCAATGGCATGATCTCGGCTCACTGCAACCTCCACCTCCTGGATTCATGCGATTTTCCTGCCTCAGTCTCCCGAGTAGCTCGGATTACAGACGAACACCACCACACCCAGCTAATTTTTTGTATTTTTAGTAGGGATGGGGTTTCACTATGCTGGCCAGACTGATCTTGAACTCCTGACCTTGTGATACACCTGCCTCAGCTTCCCAAAGTGTTGGGATTACAGGCATGAACTGCCACACCTGGCCAATAATTTTTTAAATAATTATTCTGGAAAGAGAAAAATATCTATTTCATACTCTGTTGATTGAATTATAAATTAATATAAACATTCTTAAGAACAATTTAGAAACACTGATCAAATATCTTTTTTTAAAAGTTTCTATGCTTTAACCAGAATAATTTACCCAAAGTAAATAATTAGAAATGTAGAAAACTATGCGTATGTAAAAAATGTTCTTTACAGCATTAATACAAAAACTTTTTAAAACCTAAAATTCAGTTTGTCAATTAAATAATGGGATTTCCATAGGGTAAAATTCTATACACTCATTAAAACTACGATTTAAAAGAATATGCATTTAGTTATCAGGGAAGTATTCACAATTAAGAACTTGTGATATTATATTGAAGAATTTTGCACTCCACAAGATTAAGGAGCTTTCTTCCCTGTTAAATCCTAGAAAGAAAATCCGCGATTACAAAAATTATCCTTATACAACCTTAATAATAAACAAATAATTCAAACATTTCTTAAAAACTAGAATGTCATACCTCAAACTGCAGAGTGCTTTTTCCCATTCAGGTTTTTCATGCTCTAACTGTGATATTATTTCTTTTTCTTCAGATAGTCTCTTTTGTAGTATACTAATCTCATTTTTCATTTTTTGAATTTTTCCTGTAAGTCGCTCACAGTGATTTTCTATTGATCTTTCATGTAAATAAATTGCATTTTTAATTTTTAATAGGTGAGCACAATCTGTAAACAGGAAAAAACAAAGTAGAGATAAAATACATGAGTAGATTTTTTGATATAAAGGACTGTGCATTTTAACAAGCATTGATTCATATACTGAACAAATATTTACATGTTGAATGCCTACAAGGTGGAAGACATTATAGTAAGCTCTGCAGATAACACAACACCTCTGCTCTTGTTTTAGTTTAAAGTATAGTGAAGAACCAAGATAAAAGGTGACAATTATAAACTCAGATAGGTACTGTGAAAAAAAAAAGACATAGTTATATGATTGCATAAGATAATTTGATCTATACTTCACCCAGGGAAGATTTCCCTGAGGTAGACATGGCTACACTGAGAAATGAAGGATGAGAAGAAAATAGGCAAAGAGGAAAGCAAAGCATTCTGGCCAGTTTGCAGCATGTGATGAAGCTCTGCTGCAATCTGCTACTAGCTCTGATGGAGAACAGGTACTGATCTTTCTTCTTAACTGAAAAAAATATAAAAACAAAACAGACAAAATACATTAAACAATGATTTTCAACACAGTGGACTTTAGGCAATGAAGATGGTAGGTGATCACTGAAAGGCAGAAAACAAATACAGCAGGCCTTACAAATGTCCCAGCTCTTTTAACAGAGTTTTGACAGAGGTTCCAGGCCATGACAATGGGAGAAAATCTGACACAGAGCTGGGGTGATGAAGCTGAGAGGCTAGTAAAACTAAAGCAGATAGAGATGACAGGACAGAACACTGGAGAGAAGAAAGCAGTACAGGAAACAAATCCTTAAGATGTGCAGAGATTCCCATTTGAGTATTCAGTAGAGTAATGAAAAGTCCTTTTGTGCTAGGAAACTTCCTCAAAACAATGGGGAAAAAAAAAAAAAAACGCTTAAAGAAGATTATCTGAAACTATGCCTGGGGTTCACACCATGCCTGGAAGAGGGTCCATTCCCATGAGCCAGGCCAAAAAACCTCATACTTCATAGGACAATGAATAATCAGAAAGGTCTTGCCTCAGGAGTGAGGAATTACCCCAAATCTAAAAGCAAAAACAGAAACATTATCTTTATAAGTAAATTGCTGTACTCCAAATAAAACTCAAGACAATAAGTGAAGGCATGGAAGCTATTAAAAAAACAACCATCATATTTGTAGAGACACAAATTACATTTTCAGAGGTAAAAACTACAGTGGATGGAAATAAAGACAAATTAGGGATAACAAAGGAAAAGATTCCTAAATTTGACATGATAAACTGTGAGAAACTTTCAAGCAGCTAATATAGATAACTCCCCAAATAAAAAAGAAGGGACAGAAAAAAAAAATAAAGAAAAAATGGACAAAAATGTTTTAACTTTAATACAAACCATAATCCCACAGATTCAGGAAAGAAGTATCCGGGACAGAAAAAAATGAAAGTGTATCATTGTCATCTTTTATACCATCTATGATGTATAATATTATTTGAAGGTGGACTGTGATAAGTTAAAATTATATACTAAAAATCCTAAAGTAAACATTAAGATAGCAAAACAGTTATCTCTAATAAACCCAAAAATATATAAAATTGAATCATAAAATATAGCTGACTGATCTAAAAGAAAGGAGAAAAAGAAGGGGAACAAATAACAGCTGGGACTAATAGCAATCAAACAGCATCATGACAGAAAAACACAACTATATCAATAATCACACTATAAATGACACTTGTCTAAAAACCTCAACTCAAATGCAGACTGTCAGACTCAATAAGAAAGCAAGACCCAACTACATGCTGCCTATAAGAAATGCACTTTAAATGTAAAGACACAAATTAGTTAGAAGGTTGGAAAAAGATACATGTTAACACTTGTCAGAGGCAGCTAAGCGGGAGTGGCTGTATTAATACCAAAGTAGATTTCATAGCAAAAAAAAAAAAAAAAAAAATCCAGCAATAAATAACAAAAGGTCATGTCGCAATAGTTAAAGGATCAGTTAATGAGGAAAACATAACAATCCTAAGTGTTTATACCCCTAAAGACAAGCCAGCTTCAAAATATATGAGGCCAAAGTGGATAGAACTACAAAAAGAAATAGACAATTTCTAAGTAATCTGAGGTTTCAATACCCTTTACTCAATAAGTGATAGAACAAGAAGGCAGAAAATCAGCAAGAATAAACAGACTTGAACAACACTATGCTTTTCAAGTACCCATGGAACACTTACCAAAATAGACTATATTTTAGGCCATACCATAATTCTCAATTAAAGGACTGAGTCAGAAGGATTGAAGTCATACAAAGTATATGCCCTGACCACAAATCAATCAGATTAAAGACTGATAAGAAAAGTAACTCTGAGAAACACTCAAATATTTGAAACTAAGTAACACACATCTAAATAATCCTGGGTCAAAGAGGTAATGAAAATAGAAATTAGAAAATATTCTGAACTGAATAAAAATGAAAATAAAATGTGTCAGAATTTGCGGAATGCAGCTACAACTGTACTTGAATACAAATTTTAGCACTGCTGAATGTCTATATTAGAAGAATCTCAAATCAATGACCCTGACTTCTACCTTAAGCAACTAGATAAAAGAAGAGTGAATTAAACCCAAAGCAAGCAGATGAAAGGAAATAATAAACATCTGCTGTGGTCTGAATGTTGTGTTCCCTAAAATTTATATCCTGAAAGCCAATCACAGATGCGATGCTATTAGGATGTGGGATTTTTATAGGTAGTTAGGTCATGAGAGCCAAGCCCTCATGAATGGGATTAGTGCTCTTATACAACAGACCCCAGAGCTCCTTCACCCCTTCTGCCAAGTGAAGACACAGAGAAAAAGAATGCATGTGTGAACCAGGATGTGGTCCCTAAGCATACACCAAATCCAACGCATCTTGATCTTGGACTTTGCAGACTCCACAACTGCGAGAAATCAACTTCCATTGTTTGACTCAATCTATGGTATTTTGTTATACTGTTGGCTTCAGAAGAAACAATAGAGAAAGTCAACAACACAAAACACTTTGAGGAGATCAATAAATGTGATAAAACTCCATTTAGCCAGGCTGCTCAGAAAAAATAAATAAAACAAATTACTAATTTTAGAAATAATGGGACATTATTACAGATTCTATGATTCTATAGATAGTAAAAATATAACAATATTATAATTTCTATGTAAATAAACAGGACAACTTAGATAAAAATTAATAAATTCCTTTAAAAATGAAAATTAGCAAATCTCAATCAAGAAGCAGTAGATAACCTGAATTTCCCATATCTATAAAAGAAAATTAAGCTATAACTGAAAACCTTCCTAAAAGAAAACTTCAGACCTAATTAACTATGTTGGTGAATTCTCAAAACATTTCTGGAAGAAAATAATACAACTGTACAAAAACTACCCCCACCGAAAAATATACAAACAAACAAACAAAAAAGTATATCTCAACTCAGTCTGTAATGTTAGCTTTACTCTGAACCAAAACCAGAAAATGGTATTATCAACGAGCAAATTCCCTCATGAACATGAATGTAAAACTTCAACCAATTTGTGATGCAAATAAGACATCCTCCAATAGCTGAGTGAATAAACTGTAGTTAAACAGCCATACAGTGGAATATCACTTTATGCAAAAAAGAAATGAGCAATCAATCTACGAAAATATGTGAAGGAATCTTAAATGCATATTACCTATTGACATAAGCTAATCTGGAAAGGCTACTTAATGTATTCCAACTGTGTGATACTCAGGAAAAGGCAAAACTATGAATAAAGTAGAAAGGTGCCAAAGGGTGAGGGATGGCAGGAAAGGATACATAGGCAGAGTGCAGAGGATGAACAATCCTTTGTCCAAACCCACATATGTACAGTACCAAGCATGAACCCCAATACAAATTACGGGCTTTGAGTAATTGTGATATGTCAATTTAGGCTCATCTATCGTAGCAACTACCACTATGGTGAAGGATACTGGTAATGAGGGAGGCTATATATGTGTTGGGGTGGAGGTATACAAAAAAATGTCTGAACTTCCCTCTCAATTTTGCTAGGAACATAAAAATGGTCTAAAAAATAAAAATCTTTATAATAAATTCTAAATGAGACTTTAGTAAGTTGAATCCAACAGTATAATAAAAAGATAATACATCATAAACAAATGAGGTTTATTCTAGAAATGCAGGGTTGGCCTAACATCAAAACATCATAATTATTTACCATATAACAAAGTAAAAGACCCATAGGATCACTCCAACAGATAGAGGCACCTGATAAAATTCACTGCTGATGTTTTAAAGCAGAAAAACTCTCAAGAACACAAGAATCCAAGGGAACTTCTTCAGCATGATAAGCAACACCTATGATGAATCTACAGCTAACATGCAGCATAGTGAAAAATGGAATGCATTTCCTGTCAGATGAGGAACAACAAGGGAATGTCTGCTGTCACTACTTGTAGGTAGCATTGTTCTGAAGATTCTACTTAATGCAGTCAGAAAAGATAAAGAAATAAGAGGCATCCAGGCTTGAAAAAAAAGACAGAAAATTGTCTTTGTACACAACCATGGCCATACAATAGGTATGGGTAAACCCCAACCTGTGGGGAGCTTCTTGTCTGGGTCAGTAAACTTTTATTGGAACCCAGCTGTATTCATTAACTTATAGATGGTCTATGGCTGCTCTCATACCACAATGGCAGAGTTTATGAGCTGCAAAAGAGACCCCTTTGACACAAGTCTAAAATATTTACCATCCTTAGTAAGAGGACAGTTTGAGAAAGAAAGGTTTGACAACCTTTTGTCTATGTAGAAAACCTGATCAAATCTACCAAGAATGTGCCACAACTAATAAGTGAGTTTAACAAGATTGAAGGATACAAATTCAACATAGAAAAATCAACTGTATTTCTATATGCTAGCAATAAACTATCAAATTAAAATTTTAAAACATTTTTAGAGTTTTATAAAAATGTATGTTTAGATTAGTGTTGCTCAACCTGTATAAAGTCAAATACATCTACACTAACTAAACTATAATTTACAACTTCATCACAAATGAAATACAGATAAATCTGACAAAATATGGAAAGACCTATAAAAACTAAAAAATATTACTGAGAAAATTAAATATTACCTCTATAAAAGCAGACACACACTTTATTGGGTAGATTCACTATTGTTAGGATGTCCATTCTCCCCACATTAATCTATAAATATGACACAATCCCAACCTACTTTCCAACAAGCAAGCAGTCTTTATTTTATTGATAAGCTTATTCTAAAGTTCATGTAAAATGCAAAGGATCTAGCATTGTCAAAACAGAACAAAATTAGAGGAATCATTTCAGGAATTACTATAAATCAACAGTAACCAAAACAGTATGCCACAGGTACAGGTTGAGTATCCCTTATTCAACATGTTTTGGACTAGAAGTTTTTCAGATTTTGGATTTTGGATTTTGCATAAGCACGGTGAGATATCTTGTGGGTAGGACCCAAATCTAAACACAAAATACACTTATTTTTCATATATACCGTATACACAAAGACTGAAGGTAATTTTAAACATGACTTTTAATGATTTGGGGCATTAAACATTTGTATACATGAGGTCAGATGTGGAATTTTTCCACTATGGCATCCATGTTGGCAATTAAAATGTTTTGGGTTTTAGAGTATTTCAGATTTGGGGTATTTAAATTAGTGATGCTCAACTTGTATAAAGAAAGTCAAATATAGACAATCCCCAACTTAAGGTGGTTTGACTATTGACTTTACAATGGGTTTACCACAATTTGAGGAGCAACTGGAAATTAATAAAACTCAATAGAGAGTCCAGAAATAGATAACACATATGCAACCAGCTTATGTTTGACAAAGGCAGGATGACAATGCAGTGGAGAAAGGGTAGGCTTTTCAACATATGGTGCTAGAACAATTGGATGTTCATATCCAAAAAGTGAACTTGAATCCATACCTTACTCCATCTGCAAAAGGAAACTGAAAATGGAGCATAGATTTACATATAAGACCTAAGTCTATAAAATTTCTAGAATAAAGCATAGGAAAAAATCTTTGTTACCTTGCGCTAGGCAAACATTTTTTACATATGACAAAAAATGCAAAATCTGTAATTCAACAATTAAATTGGACTTCATCATGATTAAAACTTCTGCTCTTCAAAAGATACTACAAAGTGAGTGAAAGGTGAACCCCAAAACTGGAAAAATATCCTTATAAAAAAGTAGCTAAAAAGTAACAGTATCCAAATACATACAGAATTACTAAAATTCAACAAGTAAGAAAACATCAACCTCATTTTTTAAATGGCAAAATATTTGAAAAGACAGTTCACCGAAGAAGATGTACAGATGGCAAATAAACACATGGAAAAATGTTCAACAGTTTTAGTCATGAGGATTATGTACATTAAACCCATAATAATATACATAGTACACACTCATCAGAATGGCTAAAATTAAAAAAATAAATACAACAGCAGTGTGACAACATGGCAAGCAAAATTGTCATTTGCTGCTGAAGAGAAGCGAAAACAGTACAAATATTTTGGAAAACCATTTTGCAGTTTTTAAAAACAGGAATATAAAGGGGCGTGAGGAGACTTTAGTGGTTGATGGATATATGTTAACTATCTTGATGGTAATAAGTTTCACAAGTGTATACATCTGTTAAAACTTATCAAATGATACTTTTTACATGTGTGCACTTTATCACATATCAATTATATCACACTAAAGCTACTGATTATAGGAGCAAACACCTAAGGCACTGGCTGTGACACCGAGAAGGGAATGCAATAATGCAGTGTAAAGCTAGAGGATTGAGATCTGTACCTTACTGCAATAAGTGGCAGCTGAGTTTTCTGCAAGCAGGTAACACGATCAGTATTGATTTTTTACAACTATATAATTATGGTTGCAGAACAGGCCATGGTTTTGGAAGGTGGAACAGTAGGAAGGACAGTTATAAGGTTACCACAGTATTTCAGGTGGGAGGAAATGGTAACCTGACCATGGGTAAATGGGTAAAGGCACACAAGAGAATCAGAGTAAACAAGCACATTGGGAGTGCCATTCACACTGATAAAGGTACAGTGAAATGATCACAGCTCTTTGGCTGAGAGTGTACAAGATACAGTAGTTCTCATTTTTAAGGCATATTTCTGAGATGAACATTCTTATAACGTATCAGCACTCTATGGTACAGTGGTAAGCAGTGTGTGCATACATTGCTATAGAATAGAAAAACGACTTATATATATGCATTATCCTACCTTTACACTGCATTCCATGTTGATCAATGAGTAATATAACTTTCTTAGAGGAAAGTGAGTCATCACCCTCTGAGGCTATTTGAGATGGCTGAATTACGTCATCAAGATCATCCCTAAAATGTATTTGGTTTTTTGTCTGCAAAATAAAAAACACTGTTTCAAAATGTCCCCAAAATAGTTATAGCATATACTAAATGTACAGAAGTGGGAATTATTCAAATAGTACAAACACAGGTACTAGTTCTGTACTTTCTTTTTTTTTTTTTTTTTTTAGCAATTTCCTTTTTGTTGACACTTGTTCAGAAAGTCACATGGTATATGGATAAATTAGTTTCCCAGTCCCTCTGCCATTTAGAAAACTGACAGAGAGACATGAGTTAATTAAGGAGCAAGGGTTAGGATAATGTCTTCCTGAGCTTGTATCATTTCAACTGCAGAAACAATCTATTTCTACATACAGTAAGTATTTAGATAACCTCATTTTACACAGAGATTTTCATAAATAAAATATTCAAATGGATCAAATAATTAGTGAAGAGAAAAAAGAGCAGCATCAAGTGACCTCTAAGACTTTTTGAAGTTGAACTTTCTCCAAAGCCAGGAACTCTACTTGTAATATGCTTACCTCATTCTTAAATCTTTCCGTGTATCACTTAATTCCACTTCTAGACATACTGTTGATGTTTTGTCACCATGTGGTGGAGAATAATGCACATTTTCTAATTAAAGTTTTATGCTTTTATACTTTTTTTGCAGTACAGTTGTCATATAATGGTTTCTGGAACAAATTCTATATTGGTTTTGTATCGTGTTTGTAACAACAAAAACACTATGATCTTTTTTTTTTTTTTTTAATTATCACATGCTTCATTTCTTTGAAGCAGGTAAGCCACATATCTAAAAGGCTTTTTGAATCACTAAACTGAGGCATATGTCTGACGTTTAATTTCCAATTAGTGGAATTTTGGTTCTTATTTTTTTGTCATTTGCCTAACAACCTATGAGTCTTCTTTTATTTCAACCATAACTACTTCTTGGTATCTTGCTTTTGCACTTTTCGTATCATTATAGCAATTTTCCTGGTCTGGGTTAAAAACATGTTCAGTATCTGGTTTGTGGTCATTTTCACAGTCTACTTTAATTTCTATTTAAATAAAGCTTAGAAGGTGACTGGCAAGAGTATTCTGGGGACCCAGAGTATGAATGAGATAGAAAGGCATTTTTGAGACTGGGTTATTTTTGTTCAGGAAATATCTGGACTACTACAGAGACAGACATGCCAGACATCACTTTTCTGACAATCAGGTGAATCATTTGTTCAAATCTGAGGGTATTTACTTAAGTTCGTTCTTCCTGTAGAGTTACCATGTAGTCTCTCTTCCTCAATACAAGCAGTTTTGTAATTTTTACCAAATTCTGCTTTAATTTATTTGTGATGAATTTTAAAACTTTTTTCACCCTAATTTTGTCTTGTTTGATCCACATTTTCTCATACTTCTGCATACAAGAAAGTCCTGCATATATAAAGTCCTTTCTATCACAACACTTTTTCACTACTAGTTGTTGAGACAATTTTTGCATATGCAAAAGTGGAAGAGTAATTTGCTAGTTTAGTTTCTCAGATGACTTTTCTGAGTGTGTGTTTTCAAAATAACTTTAAATAATCAAGTGTAAAAAGAGAAAAATTAAAAAATAATTAAAATTTAATATTAAACTTCTTAATCTATGTTTACCTACTCCCAAATTACTGGATTGTAACTAAGAAGTGAAAAATAATTTGAAATAGCCTAAAATAGGTGAAAAACATAAACCATGAAACTTTAATTTGTCACTGTTTGTTTGGACTAAACTGACTAATTCATTATGTGTTAAATTTACCAAAAATGAATTAGGAGATGACCTGTGGTACTACAAAGGCACACCACTTAAAAAGATTTTATCACTATACCTACAGTATACACTTGAGTGTTTTTCCAAACATTACTAAATGATTAGGCAAACTTTAAATTATTAGGAACCAAAATCAACACCCACTAAGAAAAGCAAATTCTTACATTTTAATGCTAATTATGCATTGTAATATGATTGACAGTGTTATATATTTATATAGATTATAGGCTTAAGTTCTAAGGTCCACTAATGACAGTGGATTTAATACATTTAATAATATTTACAGATTTTCTGTACTGAAATATATCAGGAAGTTATTGTTTGTACCCTAATGCCAAAGATGCCATTCTGCAATATCTGATTCTCTTGATAGACAGCTGAGTTGACTTTATAATCCATTCTCTTCCTGAACATAGTAGCTAAAGTCGGAGATCACAAGGGAAAATAAATTCTTAATTTTGGTATGACTGGCAATAAAAAAAAAAAAACTGTAAAGTTTGAACCACTAGCAAGAATTACTCCTTTAGAATCCAATAAAGTGGTCATCAGTGTTAAATTGTTCATAATTTCTATTGCTTCAAATTGCATTTCAATATTTGATGTACCTTCTTTATTATAATAGGAAGTTATAAAAATAGAAGTGCAAACAATATCAGGAATTTTTAATTCAATTCCAAGAGTAAAGATTAGATATAAGTTACTATAGATTCCAACACTATTTTGAGTTTTATAACTAGTTAAAATGTTTTTTAAATGGAATATTAAATTATAATCAACTGATACTAAAAGGCTAATCCAAAGGTAAATTCACTTGGAATATGCTGTATCACCAAAGCAAGGAAAACAAGATTAAACCAGATATTTGATTTTAAATTTTCACATACCCATGGCTGGTTATTTTCATATTCTTCAAACCTCTTTTGCTCTCCCTCTGATGCCATTTCTAAGTCTTGTTCTGCTAAAAAAAATTATATATTTAGTTAAAATGAGCTACACAGAACATTTAGATAAAAGCCATAGTCTTTCTAAAAATAGAAAATAAAATTTTTATTTTTTAAATTCAGAGTTTAAATGAAACTTAATCTTTAGTACAATATTTACTTCTTTAAGAAATGCTTTTAATTCTCCAAAACTTCAGCAAACCACTTGGGGAGGCACTAGATGCCAACAGGCTCGAGCCATACAAACATGGTCAAAGGTTCACTCAGAAATTCATCCACCCAACATCAATGAACGAAACCATCAGAAATAAAACAAAAGGTAAAAATCCAATAGAAACAGATAAAGTAACAGTACACTGTTCTTTACTTCATAATAATACCTTTATAACAACACACTGAACCTGCTGTTCATTATTAATGATTTCCAAAATGACTGCTACTGTTTATACTTTCATCAATGTGCAGTCTCTTCTTTATATCCTAAATATTTTCCTCAACTATTCTGATGAATTTCTTTCATCTTTCTTAAAAGATGAAAGTCTCAGACAGCTATGTGAAGTCTTCCTTGATTCTGGCTATCTTTCCTCAGATAAACAGTTTTATTTAATACAGGTTTTAAAACATATATAGTTAAGATTTCAAAAGTGAGATTATGTCTCAACTAACTATAATTAAAATAGAAGACTGTATCTATTGCAATGTAAACATGCTGACTGATAATGAGAAAAATGATCTTTAATAAGAATAGCAAATCATGATCCTGAGAGAATAAGTGTCAAAGCTGATGGGAGGATGCTATGGCCTGTCTTTAATGCAATCCATCAGGTTCAATTATACCATTACGCTACAAGCACTTATTATTTTCAACTATTTTTCCTATTATTTAGGAAGTACAAAGTTGTGAGGACACTTCCAATAAATATATAATTTATTTCTCATCAAAGAAACTGTTTAAAATTACTCAGCTTAGATAGACAGAATAATAATAGATCTATTCATTTTTTTTTCAGTCTCAGGTGGGCTACTACTATATTGCTCATATCCTATAGTTTGGCCCTGTCAAAAAGTTTCTTGATCCACTCATGCAAGAAGATTTTTAAAAACATCAAAATAGTGTATAATAAGCTTCCAATGTGTAAATAATAGTCAAAAATGAAAAATTTAATTGTCAGACATTAACTTTTTATACTTCAAAATCAGTGCAATATTCACTGAATATATCAGCTTTGTTATTCAAATAATGAATGCTATAACTTTTTGTTTCTAAAATTAACTTGATTTGATATATCATGCTTATCTCTAAGGTACTTTCATGGAATTGAGATCTTATAAAAAAATAGGTTTCTTAATAAAATCAAAGTTTATTAGTTCAAATACATTTAACTTGATTAATATCAAAACTTCTCTATAACTTTCATGAATTATTCCCACCCCTTCTTTCCTCTTTATTTAACAGTAGTATCTTACATGTATAATTTCTATTTCCTAAATTTTTGTTCCTTCCCCTCTGGCTAGAATGATGCTCAGAAATAATAGCAAAATGATACTTTTGCTTTGACTCTGTTATGTTTTGAACTGCTGTCAGGTGGCAAACAGGTATATGGAAAGGTTCTCAGCATCTCTAATCATTACAGAAATGCAAATCAAAGCTACAATGAGGTATCTTCTCACCTCAGTTAAAATGGCTTTTATCCAAATGACAGGCATTAAGAAATCCTGGTGAGGATGTGGAGTAAGCGGAATCCTTGTACACCATAGATGGCATTGTGAATTAGTACAGCCACTATGGAGAACAGTATAGAGAGTCCTCAAAAAATTAAAAATACAACTACCCACTTGATCCAACAATCCCATTGCTAGGTAACTACTCAAAAGCAGGGAAATCAGTATTATAAAAGAGAAATTCTGCCCTGACGTGTTTATTGCAGCACTTCTCACAATAGCCATAATTTGGAATCACCCTAAGTGTACATCAACAGACAAATGGCTTTAAAAAATATGATACATATACTCCTCAGCCATATGAAAGAATGAGATCCTCTCATTTGGAATGACATGGATGGAACTGGAGGGCATTATGTCAAGTAAAATAATCCAGGCAAAGAAGAAAAGCTTCACATGTTCTCACTCCTTTGTGGGTGTGAGAAATTTAAAAAATAGAACTCATGGAAATGGAGAATAAAATCAAAGTTACCACAGTATAGGAAGGGTGTGAGGGTGGTAGGAAATGAGGATACTTAATAAGTACAAACTATAGTTAGATACAATAAATAAAATGTAGCATTTTATAGTACAAAAATATGACTATAGTCAGCAATAACTTGTACATGTTAGCATTACTGAGGGAGTAAAAATTAAAAGACAGCACAAAGAAATTGTGAATGCTTGAGGTGATGGATAACCCATTAATCATGATGTGATTATTAGACATTGTATGCCCCTATCAAAATATCTCATTTACTCCATAAACATAAGCATATACAATTTACACATTAAAATTAAAAACAAAAATACATATATAAAGTAACACACACACATACACAGACACACACTGTGCTAATCAAAACATCTGATTGGCTTAATGTAATAAGGGTAACAAAACAGACCAGAACCTATAAAAGCTAAATATGTTACCAAGTAAAACATTTCATTAGATAAAAACCGTACTTTGAATTGACTTTTAAAGCAAAACAAATATTTTAGAGTATCAAAATTGATCTCTTTAAATTGCTAAAAACTACTGAAATTCCAAATCGAAAGCTTCAGAGTATCCAAATGTAAAAGTAGAAACATTGAATACACCCTTATTTTGTGCAGTGTGTGTGCGGCGGCTAACTCCTGTAATCCCAGCACTTTGGGAAGCCAAGGCAGATGGATCGCCTGAGGTCAGGAGTTCAAGGCCAGCCTGACCAATATGGAGAAACCCGATCTCTACTAAAAATACAAAATTAGCCAGGCGTGGTTGTGCATGCCTCTAATCCCAGCTGCTCAGGAGGCTGAGGCAGGAGAATCCCTTGAACCCAGGAGGCAGAGGTTGCAAGATTAGGCCATTGCACTCCAGCTTGGAAAACAAGAGCGAAATTCCATTTCAAAACACAACACAAAACCTTGTATTTTAAAAATATATTTTCCTTATGTGTGTAAATCTCATTTTTAAAAACATAAAAAAGATAACAGCTACATTATTTATATGAAATCCTGAAATAAAACATAAAAAGAAAAATAATTGAGAATGGAAAGACTGTGAGCATTACAAATAGATTAATGTACTTCTTTCCAGAGTTAAATTTGCATTGCAAAGTTTACCTGGCAAGGATGTGTGTACATCCTTCATTTCGGTGGCTATATTCAGAACAGAATCTTTATTTTCAATTGTAACCTGAATGGGTTTTAAAACAAAATGATTAGCACATGATGTATGTTGTATAGGGACATGATGTTAATAATTAAAAATATAAAATAAGGGTACCTTCAAGGTGGGAAGATTTTCAGGATATTCTAACAAGCAAAAAAATATATATAGTCAATCATATGTGAATACAGTAAGGCCAATCATACATTCATGGAGTGTTAGCATCAAACTAAATACTCTTGCTTATGTTAGTGTATGATTTCATGTTTTTCTAGTTTATTTCTTTCAGACAGTAACATAACAGAAATACACTGAAGAAAATAAGAATATAGGCTTCAAAAAACATATAGTTACAAGTTAAAAAGTGAGATTATGCACCATGTCTATCGATTAAAAAAAAGTATTGATATCAATGTGGATATGCTAATAAGAGAAACGTGATTTAAAGTCAGAGGAGCAACTCATACACCTGGGAATCAATGTCAAAGCAGGTGGTACATACTCCCGCACATCTTTCATGCAAGACATCAGAAGGATTTATACCATTGTACTACAAACATTCATCATGCTCTTTAACTTGCCCAATAACTGAGAAGACACACAATTACAATGACACTTCAGTTGAGTGTACACTTCACATCTCTTCAGTGGAAGTGTCCTGAATTGAGCAGTGTGGATATATGTTCCGCGAATCCTAGTAGATAATATTCCTTATTTATCATAACCATGTGGTGTAATAATGTGCCTAAATTTCTTGTATCCTCTAGTTTAGCCTTCTGAAAGTTTCTTCATCCACTCACAGCAAGAAGGTAAAATATATAAACCCCATTAAAAAGTACAATAAATTATACATACTTATGCAAAATGGAATTGCTACAGGCATTAGATATTAATAACCTTTTATATTTGGAAATCAGTACAATATTCACTGAAAGTAACCATTTTAGAATTCAGTTAATGCATTCAACATTACTTTTCTCTAAAATTAGTCTGGTTTGGAGTATCACTTTAATCTATAAAGAATTTTCATTAAATAGCTATTTTAATAAAAAAGCTAGCAAAAACCTAATGTATTCATATTAAATTTTAACTCATTTGAATAACTAATAAAAATGTATCTCTGATGTCTAATAGTAATAAACAGGAATAATGAGTCACTGTGGTTTATCCCAATTCTACGTTCCTTCCAGATTCCAGTAGTCACTGGAGAAGCCAGAAATCAAATCTTCTGGTATGCAAATATTCTAAATACATCTGAAGTGAGTTCACCCAGGTTTCCTCAGCAGAAGCCCCAAAATTACCTAAAAAACTTATTCCTTCTCCTCTTTCCTGCCTTGTAATCCCTCTTTCTTGATGAAAATAATTACTACATTGGTGGTCACATTGCTTCTCATTCTACAGTGTTTATGGATAATAATCCATAAATAATCCATGACAACTTCTTCCCTCTGGTTTTAGCAGTACCATCAGACATCTATAATTTCTATTACTTCGTCTCTTTCTCCTTCCCCTCTCCATAGAAACATGTTATGAAATAAGAGCAAAATTATGCTGTCCCCTGATCCTCTTATGTCTTGAACTGCTTTCCAATGGTTCTTCTTCCCAATTTCAATGTACAGAAGTCTATAACCTGGCTATTCAGATCACGGCCAAGGACCAGCAGCATTAGCATCACCTGAGAATGTACTAGAAATGCAGAATCTCAGGCCTGCTGAATCAGAATGTGCATTTTCAAAGAGCCCCCTGCTGATTTATTCAGGGGCGGGAAGTTCTCTTCTATCTTGAATGCACATGACATTAAATATGTATTGCTAAATTACCTGCTCCAGATTTTTCAACAACCGTTATTCCTGTGGCAATATTTGAAAGAGAAACTTTCTTTTTAATTATAGCCTGAATGGAATGAGAAACAAAATAATCAATACATGATATATACTTCATAGATTATATAATTAGTAATTCAAAATATAAATGAAAGGGTAATTACCTTCCAGGCCGGTTGTTTCTGAGAAGACACTGAAAAGCAAAATGGATATATAATCAATCATATGTAACTATGATAAAACCAACCATACATTAATGCAGTGTTAGCATCAAGCTATATCCTCCTGCCTGTACTGAAGCAGGAGATGAGGGCAGAAAAACAAATTTTCCTCCTTTCCTTTGGTATAAGCAAACTTCCCTGAGTCCTTCCCCCTTCTGTGGAACTGTACCCTGCTCTGCAAGTTTTATGAGTTTATAGATTATTGTATACTTGTTTTCTATAGCTAATAACTGCAAGTTTCTGTTTTTCATCTGAGCAGCACAGTGAAGGTCATGAGATATGTCTGAGCAAGTCTGGATTGCAGCCATCTAGGCACCATAGCAAAGGATGCAAGATAAGTTTGTGTGAGGCTCTTCAGCAACCTAGATAATGGCCATCTAGGTCACAGAGAGAAAGTCATTTGTAAGCCTGAGTTATAGGCCTGTCATTGCTTGATAAACTGCCTTTGTTCTGCTCCTGTATTTTGTGTATAAAAGTCAAGCCCTGTCTTTGTTCAGAGCTCAGCCTTTGAATGCAAATCTGCTGAACTGGTACACACCTTAATGAAATCCTCCTGTTCCACCAATTGGTCTCTCTGGTCTCCTGATTCCCGTAAAAGTACTAGTGTAGAATTTGATGTTTTATTGTTTATGTCTTTGGAATAGGAACATGAGGAAATATACTGAAGAAAATAGGAATACAGGTTTCCACAAAATATACAGTTGTAAAATTACAAAGAGATATTATGCATCATATGTATATTACCAAAATAAAAAGTATCAATATCAATGTGGATATGCTGAGTGATGAGGACCAATGTAATCGAAAATCAGACGAGCAACTTATACACCTGAGAATCAATGTCAAAGCAGGTGGTACATACTCCTGCATGTCTTTCATGAAAGACATCAGAAGGATTTATACCATTATACTACAAACATTCATCATGCTCTTTAACTTGCCTGATAACTGAAAAGATACACAATCACAATGACACTTCAATTGAATGTACACTTCATGACTCTTTAGTGGAAATGTCCTCAATTGATCAGGCTGGATATATGTTTAGTGAATCCTAGCAGATAATATTCATTATTTTTCATACCCATGTGGTGTAATAATGTGCCTACATTTCTTGTGTCCTCTAGCTTAGCCTTTCTGAAAGTTTCTTCATCCACTCATGACAACAAGGTATAATATAAAAACCTCAAGAAAAAGTATCATTATCGATTTTGACATATTTCTACAAAATAAAACTCCTACAAAGATTAGTTATTAACAATCTTTTACATTAGAAAATCACTCCAATATTCATTGAAAAAAACATTTTAAGAGTCAATCGATAAATTCAACATTATTGTTGTTTCTAAAATAGTCTTGTTTAAAGTATCATGTTATTCTCTAAGGAATTTTCATTAAATAGCTATTTTATCCAAGAGTTAGCTCCTTGAACAATGAAGACAATATATTCATATTCAAATTTATCTAATTTGTATAACTAAAATCAACAAAACATGTATTTCTGATGCCTAATAGTAATATAGAAGAGTAATAAGTGAGGGTGGTTAATCCCAATTATAGCACTTTTTCCTGCTTCAATTCATTCCTGGAGCAGCCAAAATCAAATCTTCTTATATGTCAATATTTGAAATGAATTTGAAATGAGTTCATTCAGGTTTCCTCAGCAGATATCCCAAAATTAAATAAATAACTTCTTTTTTTCCCTCCTTCCTGACTCACATTTCCTCTTCCTTGAGGAAAATAATTACTACATCAGTGATCTCCTTAGTTCTCATTCTACAATGTCTATGTGTCATTACGATCCCTTCTTCCGTCTGGTTCTAGCAATACGATCTGGTGCCTACAATTTCATTTACTTCATCTCTTCCTCCTTTCCCTGTTTATGAAAACATAGCTGTAGATGGAAAGCAAATTATGTTGCTGCTGAGACTGTTATGTCTTGAACTGCTCTCTGATGGTTCTTCTTTCCAATTACAATGTAGAAAAGTCTATAATCTTACTATTTAGATCATGGCCAAGGAACAGCAGCACCAACATCTCCCAAGAATCTCAGGCCTGCTGAATCAGAATGTACAGCTTCAATGAGCCCTCCACTGATTTATTTTGGGGAAAAGTCATTCGCTTCTATCTTGACTAAACATGACATTAATTGTGAATTGCAAAATTACCTGTCTTAGATTTTTGTCCATCCTTTATTTCTGTGGCTATATTCGAAACAGAATCTTTCTTGTCAATTGTAGCCTGAATGGGATGTAAAATAAAATAATCAATACATAAAATATATTTCATAGAATATACAGTTAATAGTTCCAAATATAAATGAGAGTGTAGTTACCTTTAAGGCCAGCTGTTTCTGAGCATACACTGAAATCAAAAGGGATATGTAATCAATCATATGTAAATATAATAAAGGTATCCATGTATTCATGTAGTGTTAGCACCAAGCTGTATCCTCCTGCCTGTATTAGGGGATGTTTAGATGTTTTAAACTTGGTGTCTTGAAACAGGATCAACAGAAATACACTGAAGAAAATAGATATAAAGTCTTCATGAAATATAAACTTCCAATTTCAAAAGTAATAATATTTTTCATATGTCTAGTACTACAATAAAAACTTGTTATTATCAATGTAGATATGCTGAGTAATGAGGACCAATGTGATGTAATATCAGAGAGGCAACTCATACACCTGGGCATCAATGTCAAAGCAGATGGTAAAGGCTCCCGCATGTTTTTCATGCAAGACATCAGAAGGATTTATACCATTATACTACAAATATTCATCATGCTCTTTGACTTGCCTGATAATTGAGCAGGTACAAAACGACAATGACACTTTAGTTGAATGTACACTTCACAACTTCCCAGTGGAAGTGTCCTGAATTGATCAACTTACATATATGTTTGATGAATTCTACTGTATAATATTCTTTATTTCCCATATCCATGTGGTACAATAATGTGACTACATTTCTGGCATCCTCTAGTATAGCCTTCAGAAAGTTTCTTCATCCACTCGTGGTAAGAAGAAATAATACATAAACCTCATCAAAAAGTATGATAAATTATCAAATTTGACATACAAAATAAAGTTACTACAAGCACTAAATATGAGGAAGCTTTACATTTAGAAATCACTCCCATATTCACTGAAATAACCATTTTAAGAGTCAATTAATGGATTCAACATTATTTTTATTTCTAAAAAGTTCTGGTTTGACATATAATGTTGTTCTCTAAAGCATTTCACAAATTACTTTTTTATCCAAAAGTTAGCTCTTTGAAAAAAAAAAAAGCCAATGTATGCATATTCCTGTTTATTCCATTTGAATAATATCAACAAAACATATATCTCTGATGCCTAATAGTAACATAGAAAAGTAATGAGTCAGGGTAGTTTATCCCATTTCTAGCACTCTTTCCTGCCTCCAGTAGTTCCTAGAGAAGCCAAAATCAAATCTTCTTTTATGAAAATAGTCTAAGTGCATCTGAAGTGAGTTCATTTAGGCTTCCTCAGCAGAAATCCCAAAATTGCATAAATAAATTCTTTTCCCTCCTTCTTGCCTCACAATCTTTCTTCCTTGAGGAAAATAATTATTACATCAGTGGTCTCTTTAATTTTCCTTCTACAGTGTTTATGGATTATTAGGATCACTTCTTCCTTCTGGTTTTAGCAATATGATCTGATGCTTATAATTTCTGTTACTTCATATCTTTTCATTTTTTCCCTCTTGAAGAAAACATGCTGTAGAATTAAAGCAAAATTATGCTGCCCCTGAGCCTGGTATGTCCTGAACTGCTCTTTAATGGTTCTTCTTCCCAATTTCAATGTAATAAAGTCTGTAAGCTTACTACTCAGATCATGGTCAAGGACCAGCAGCATCAGCATCAACTAAGAACTTATTACAAATTCAGAATCTCAGGCCTGCTGAATCAGAATGTGCAGCTTCAATGAGCCCTCCGCTAATTTGTTCATGGAAGAGAAGTTCTCTTCTATCTTGAGTGAACATGACATTAACTATGTATTGCAAAATTACCTGTCCCAGATTTTTGTACATCCTTTGTTTCTGTGGCTATATTCGAAACAGAATCTTTCTTCTCACTTGTAGTCTAAATGGGATTTGAAACAAAATAATCAATATAAAAAGTATATTTCATAGACTATAAGAGTTAATAGTTCAAAACATAAATGAGAGTACAAATACCTTCAAGGCCAGTTGTTTCTGAGAAGACTCTGAAAAAAAAAGTATACATAATCAATCATAAGTTAGTATGATAAAGTTAACCACACATTCATGAAGTGTTTGCAACAAGCTGTATTTTCCTGCCTGTATTAGTGTTGACTTTGATGTTTTATACTTTGTGTCTTGGGACAGGAACTGACAGAAATACACTGAAGAAAACAGGAGTACAGTCTTCACGAAATATACACTTTCAATTTCAAATGTAATCTTATTCTTCACATTTATTACTTTAATAAAAAAGTGCCATTATAAAGGTGGATATGCTGAGTGATGAAGTAAAATGTAATCTAAAATCAGAGGAGCAACTCATACACCTGGGAATCAATGCCTACATACTACTGCATGTTTTTCATGCTAGACATCAGAAGGATTTATACCATTTTACTACAAATATTCATCATGCTCTTCTACTTGCCTGATAATTGAGCAGGTACACAATGACTATGACATTTTAGTTGAATATATGCTTCACAAGTCCTCAGCGGAAGTGTAGCAGAATGATCAGCTTAGATATATGTTTGGTGAATTCTAATATACAATATGCTTTATTTATCACACCCATGTGGTGTAATAATGTGCCTACATTTCTTGTATCCTCTAGTATAGCCATCTGAAAGTTTATTCATTGACTCATGACAAGAAGGCATAACATGTAAAACCATCAAAAAGTATAATAAATTATCAAATTTGACATACTTACACAAAAGAACAGTGCTACAAACAATTAATATGAGGAAGCTTTTACATTTGGAAATTACTCCAATATTCATTGAAAATAACCACTTTAGGAGTCAACTAATGAATTCAACAATTATTTTTGATTTTAAAATAATCTTGTTTGAAGTAGCATGTTATCCTTTAAAAACTTTTCATTTAATTGCTATTATAACCAAGAGTGAGCTCCTTGAAAAACAAAACCACTGTATGCACATTCACCTTTACCTCATTCTAATAACTAATATCAACAAAGCATGTATATCTGATGCCCTATAGTAACAAACAGGAGTAATGAGTCAGTGTAGTTTACCCAATTCTAGCACTCTTTCTTGCTTCCAGTAGCTCCTGGAGCAGCCAAAACCAAATCTTCTTTTATGCAAATATTCTAAATGCATCTGAAGTGAGTTCACTTAGGTTTCCTCAGCAGGAACCCTCAAATTAAATAAATAACTTCTTCTTTTCCCTCCTTCCAGCCTCACACTCCCTCTTCCTTGAGAAACATAATTACTACATCAGTGGTCTCTAGTTCTCATTCTACAGTGTTTATCATTTATTATGGTCACATCTTTCCTCTGGTTTGAGCAATACAATTTGACGACTATAATTTCTATTACTTAATCTCTTTCTCCTTCCACTCTTGATGAAAACATACTGTAGAATTAAAGAAAATTTATGCTGTCCCCTGAGCTGCTTATGCCTTGCCTGCTCTCCAATGTTTCTTCTTCCCAATTTCAATGTAGGGAAGTCTATAATCTTACTACTCGGAACATGGCCAAGGAACAGCAGCATCAGCATCACCTGAGAACTTATTACAAATGCAGAATCTCAGGCCTGTTGAATAAAAATGTGTAGCTTCAATGAGCACCCTGATGATTTATTTGGGGAGGGGGGGAAGTTCTATCTTGAGTGATCATGACATTAAATGTGTATTGTTAAATTACCTGCTCCAGATTTTTGCCCATCTGCTGTTCCTGTGGCTATATTTGAAAGAGAAACTTTCCTTTTAAACAGAGCCTGAATGGGATGAGAAGTAAAGTAATCAATACATAATATATATTTGATAGACTACATAGTTAATATTTTTAAATGTAAATGAAAGAGTAATTACCTTCCAGGCAGATTGTTTCTGAGAAGACACTGAAAAGCAAATGGGATACATAATCAATCATATGTAAATATGATAAAGTTATCAGTACATTCATGCAGTGTTACCATCAAGCTGTATCCTGCTGCCTGTATTAGTGTAGGCTTTGATACTTTATACTTTGTGTCTTGGGACAGCAACATGACAGAAATACACTGAAGAAAACAGGAATACAGTCTTCAAAATATATACACTTACACTGTCAAATGTGATATGATTTGTCATATGTCTAAAACTCAAATAAAGCAGTGTCAATATCAATGTGGATATGCCAAGTGACGAGGACCAATGTGCTCTAAAATCAGAGGAGCAACTCATATACCTGGGAATCAATGTCAAAGCAGGTGGTACATACTCCCGCATATCTTTCATGCAAGACATCAGAAGGATTTTTACCATTATGCTACAAACATTCATCATGCTCTTTAACTTGCAAACTGAGAAAGTACACAATTGTGATGACACTTCAGTTGAACATACACTTCACGTCTCTTCATTGGAAGAGTCCTAAATGGATCAGCTTTGATATATGTTTGGTCAATCCTAGCAGATATTATTCATTATTTCTCACAACCATGTGGTGTAATAATGTGCCTACATTTCTTGTATCCTGTAGTTTAGCCTTCTGAAAGTTTCTTCATCCACCCATGGCAAAAAGGTATAATATATAAACCTTAATGAAAAGTATCATCAATTATCAATTTTGACATACTTTTACAAAGTAAAACTAGTACAAGCATTGGACACTAATAAACTTTTACATTCAAAAATCACTCCAACATTCATTAAAAATAACCCTATTAGAATTCTAATAATGAATTCAACATTAGTTTTGTTTCCAAAATAGTCTTATTTGGAGTACCATGTTATTCTCTACAGAATTTTCATTAAATAGCTATTTATACAAGAGTTAATTCCTTGGACAACAAGCCAATGTATTCATGTTCAAGTTTATCTCATTTTTATAACTAAAATCAACAAAATATGTATCTATGATGCCCAATAGTAACAAGAAGTAATGAGTCAGTGTGGTTTATCCCAATTCTAGAACTCTTTCCTGCTTCCAGTAGTTCCTGAAGTAGCCAGAATAAAATCTTCTTTTAGGTAAATATTCTAAATGCTTCTGAAGTGAGTTCACTAGGTTTCTTCAGTAGAACCCCAAAATTACATATATCACTTCTTCTTTTCCCTCCTTCCTGCCTCACAATCCCTCCTCCTTGATAAATATCATTATTACATCAGTGGCCAACGTAGGGAAGTCTATAATCTTACTTCTCAGCTCATGGCCAACGACCAGCAGTATTAGTGTCACCCAAGAAATGCAGAATCTCAGGCCTGCTGAATCAGAATGTGCAGCTTGAATGGGCCCTCACTGATTTATTCATGGAAGAGAAGTTCTCTCCTAACTTGAGTGAACATGACATTAGCTGTGTATCACAAAATTACCTGTCCTGGGTTTTTTTCCATCCTTTATTTCTGTGGTTATATTTGAAACAGAATCTGTCTTGACACTTATAGCCTGAATGGGAATTGAGGCAAAAGAATCAATACATAAAGTATATTTCATAGACTATAAGAGTTAATAGTTCAAAACAAAAATGAGAGTATAATTACCTTCAAAGTCTGTTGTTTCTGAGAAGAATCTAAAAAAAAGGTATAATCAATCATAAGTAAAATGATAAAGTTATCCATACATTCATGAAGTGTTTGCAACAAACTGTATTTTCCTGCCTGTATTAGTGTAGGCTTTGATGTTTTATACTGTGTGTCTTGGAACATGATAGATATATACTGTAGAAAACAAGAGTACAGTCTTAACAAAAGATATACTTCCAACTTCAAATGTAATATTATTCTTCATATGTCTATTACGACCAAAAAAAGTGTCATTATCAATGTGAATATGCCGAGTGATTAGGTAAAATGTGATCTAAAATGAAAGGAGCAACTCATACACCTGGGACTCAGTGTCAAAGCAGGTGGTACATACTTCCACATATCTTTCATGCAAGACATCAGAAGGAGTTATATCATTATACTACAAACATTCATCATGCTCTTCTACTTGCCTGATAATTGAGCAGGTACACAATGACAATGACACTTTAGTTGAATGTACACTTTACAAGTCCTCAGTGGAAGTGTCCTGGATTGATCGGCTTGGATATATGTTTGGTGAATCATAGTATATAATGTGCTTTATTTCTCACACCCATGTTGTGTATTAATATGCCTACAATCGTATCCTCTAGTTTGCCTTCAGAATGTTTCTTCAGCCACTCATGGCAACAAGTCATAATATATAAACCTCATCAAAAAGTAAAATAAACTGTAAAATTTGACATACTTATACAAAATAAAGTTGTTAAGAGCATTAGATATGAATATGTATGAATAAGCTTTTACATTTGGAAATCACTCCAACATCCATTAAAAATGACTTATCAGAGTCAATTAATGAATTCAGCATTATTTTTGTTTCTAAAATAGTCTGGATTGATATATCACATTATTCTCTAAAGCATTTTCCTCAAATTGCTATTTCATCCAAAAGTTATCTCTCTGGAAAACAAAGCCAATGTATGCATATTCATGATTATCTCATTTAAATAACTAATATCAACAAAATATACATCTCTGTTGCCCAACAGTAGCAAAGAGGAGTAATGAGTCACTGTAGTTTATCTCAATTCTAGCATTGTTTCCTGCTTCCAATATTGGAGCAGCCAAAACCAAATCTTCTTATACGAAATATCCTTAATGTATCTGAAGTGAGTTCCCACAGGTTTCCCCAGCAGAAACCCAAAAAAAATCACATAAATAACTTCTTATTTTCCCTCCTTCCGGCCTCACAATCCATCCTTCTTGAGAACAATAATTGCTATATCAGTGGTCTCATTAGTTCTCATTCTACAGTGTTATGGGTCATTACGATCACTTCTTTCTTATAGTTTTAGCAATACGATCAGATGCTGGTAATTTCTGTTACTTCATCTCTTTCTTTTTTCCCGCTTGATGGAAAAATGCTGTAGAATTAAAGTAACATTATGCTGTCCCCTAAGCCTGGTATGTCTTACACTGCTCTTTAATGGTTTTTCTTCCCAATTTCAATGTAGAGAAGTTTACAATCTTACTACTCAGATCATGGCCAAGGATCAGCAGCATCAGTGTCACCGGAGAACTTACTACAAGTGCATAATCTCAGGCCTGCTGAATCAGAAGGTGCAGCTTCAATTAGACCCTGCTGATTTATTCAGGGAAAAGAAGCTCTTTTCTATCTTAAGTGAACATGACATTAAATGTGTATTACAAAATTACCTGTCCCAGATTTTTGTTCATCCTTTATTTCTGTGGCTATATTCGAAACAGAATCTTTCTTGTCAGTTGCAGCCTGAATAGGATTTGAAACAAAATATTCAATACATAAAGTATATTTTACAGACTATACAGTTAACAATTATAAACATAAATGAGAGTGTAATTACCTTCAAAGTTGGTTGTTTCTGAGAAGACACTAAAAAGAAAAAGGGATACATAATCGCTCATAAGTAAATATAATAGTTATCCATACTTTCATACATAATCGCTCATATGTAAATATGATAAAGTTATCCATACTTTCCGTACTTATCCATACTTTCATGCAGTGTTACAATCAAGCAGTATTTTCCTGCCTGTATTAGTATAGTCTTTGATGTTTTATACTTTGTGGCTTGGAATAGGAACATGACAGAAATACACTGAAGAAAACATGAATACAGGCTTCACAAAATATACTCTTACAATTTGAAATGTGATATCATTTGTCATATGTCTAAAACTAAAACATTGTCAGTATCAATGTGGATATGCCAAGTCATGAGGACAAATGTGATCTGAAATCAGAGAAACAACTCGTACATCCTGGAATCAATGTCAAACAGGTGGTACACACTTTCACATGTCTTTCATGCAGAACATCAGAAGGATTTATACCATTATACTATAAATATTCATGATGTTCTTTAACTTGCCTGATAACTGGGAAGGTACACAATGGCAATGACACTTTAGTTGAATGTATACTTTGACAAGTCCTGAGTGGAAGTGTTCTGGATTGATCAGCCTGAATATGTGTTTAGTAAATTCTAGTATGTAATATTAATTATTTGTCACACACATATGGTGAAACACTGTGTTCACATTTCTTTTATCTTCTCGTTTAGGCTTCAAAAGTTTCTTCATCCACTCATAGCAACTAGGTATAACATATAAACCTCATCAAAAATTATAATAAATTATCAAATTTGACATTCTTATACAAAATAAAGTTGCTACAAGCATTAGATATGAATAAGCTTTTACTTTTGGAAATCACTCCAATAGTTATTGAAAATGGCCATTTTATAAGAGTCAATGAATTCAATATTATTTTTGTTTCTAAAATAGGTTTGTAGTATCATGTTGTTCTCTTTTTATTATAAATACTTATTGTGCAAAACGTGATGTCTTAAAACAGTTATACACTGTAGAGTGTCTCAAGCAAGCTAATTATCATGTGAATTATTTCCCATCCTTATTTTTTTGTGGTGAAGACTGCTTAAAATCTGCTCTTCAATTTTCAGTAATAAATTGTTATTAATTATACTCATCATGTTGTACAATAGATTATAATCATCATGCTGTACAATAGATTTCTTGGACTTATTCTTCATGTCTAACTGAAATGTTTTATTTATATGTACATATATATATATATATATATAGTTGTACTTTAGGTTCTGGGGTACATGTGCTGAACATGCTGGATTATTGCATAGGTACATACATCACAATGTGGTTTGCTGCCTCCATCCCCCCATCACCTATATCTGGCATTTCTCCCCATATTATCCCCCCCCAATCCCCCCACCAACAGACCCCAGTGTGTGATGCTCCCCTCCCTGTGTCCATGTGTTCTCATTGCTCAACACCTGCCTATGAGTGAGAACACACAGTATTTGATTTTCTGTTCTTGTGTCAGTTTGCTGAGAATGATGGCTTCCGGATTCATCCATATCCCTACAAATGACACAAACTCATCATGTTTTATGGCTACACAGTATCCCATGGTGTATATGTGCCACATTTTCCTTGTCCAGTCTATCATTGATGGGCATTTGGGTTGGTTCCAGGTCTTTGCTATTGTAAATGGTGCCGCAATGAACATACATGTGCATGTGTCTTTATAATAGAACGACTTATAATCCTTTGGATATATACCCAGTAATGGGGTTGCTGGGTCAAATGGAATTTCTATTTCTAGGTCTTTGAGGAATTACCACACTATCTTCCACAATGGTTGAACTAATTTGCACTCCCACTAACAGTGTAAAACTGTTCCTATTTCTCTACATCCTCTCCTGCATCTGTTGTCTCTAGATTTTTTAACAATCGCCATTCTAACTGGCGTGATATGGTATCTCAATGTGGTTTTGATTTGCATTTCTCTAATGACCAGTGATGATGAGCATTTTTTCATGTTTGTTGGTCTCATAAATGTCTTCTTTTGAAAAGTATCCATTCATGTCATTCGCTCACTTTTGAATGGGTTTGTTTGTTTTCTTCTTGTAAATCTGTTTTAGTTCTTTGTAGATTCTGGATATAAGCCCTTTGTCAGATGGGTTGATTGCAAAAATTTTTTCCCATTCTGTTGGTTGCTGGTTCACTCTAATGATTATTTCTTTTACTGTACAGAAGCTCTGGAGTTTAGTTAGATCCCATTTGTCTATTTTGGCTTATGTTGCCAATGCTTTTGGTGTTTTAGTCATGAAGTCCTTGCCTATGCCTATGTCCTGAATGGTTTTGCCTAGGTTTTCTTCTAGGACTTTTATGGTTTTACATCTTATGTTTAAGTCTTTAATCCATCTGGAGTTAATTTTAGTGTAAGTTGTCAGGAAGGGGTTCAGTTTCTGTTTCCTGCACATGGCTAGCCAGTTTTCCCAACGCCAATTTATTAAACAGGGAATCCTTTCCCCATTGCCTGTTTTTGTCAGGTTTGTCAAAGATCAGATGGTCATAGATGTGTGGCGTTGCCTCTGAGGCCTCTGTTCTGTTCCATTGGTCTATCTCTCTGTTTTGGTACCAGTACCATGCTGTTTTGATAACTGTAACCTTGTAGTATAGTTTGAAGTCAGGTAGCTTGCTACCTCCAGCTTTGTTCTTTTTGCTTAGGATTGCCTTGGCTATCTATGCGGGCCCTGTTTTAGTTCCATATGAAGTTTAAAGCGGTTTTTTCCAGTTCTGTGAAGAAGGCATTGGTAGCTTGATGGGGGATAGCATTGAATCTATAAATTATTTTGGACAGTATGGCCATTTTCATCATATTGATTTTTCCTAACCATAAGCATGGAATGTTTTTCCATCTGTTTGTGTCCTCTCTTACGTCCTTGAGCAGTGGTTTGTAGTACTCCTTAAAGAGTTCCTTTACATTCTTTGCTAGTTGTATTCCTAGGTATTTTATTCTCTTTGTAGCAATTGTGAATGGCAGTTCGTTCTTGATTTGGCTCTCTTTTAGTCTGCTATTGGTATATAGGAATGCTTGTGATTTCTGCACATTGATTTTGTATCCTCAGATTTTGCTGAAGTTGCTTATGAGTTTAAGGAGATTTTGGGCTGAGAGGATGGGGTCTTCTAAATATATAATCATTTTGTCTGCAAATAGAGACAATTTGACTTCCTCCTTTCCTAATTGAATACCCTTTATTTCTTTTTCTTGCCTGGTTGCTCTGGCTAGAATTTCCAATACTCTATTGAATAGGAGTGGTGAGAGAGGGCATCCTTGTCTAGTGCCAGATTTCAAAGGAAGTACCTCCAGTTTTTGCCCATTCAGTATGATATTGGCTGTGGGTTTGTCATAAATAGCTTTTATTGTTTTGAGATGCGTTCCATCTATACCTAGTTTATTGAGAGTTTTTCGCATAAAGCACTGTTGAATTTTGTCAACATCTATTGAGATAACCATGTGGTTTTTCTTTGGTTCTGTTTATGTGGTGGATTACGTTTATAGACTTGCGTATGTTGAACCAGCTTTGCATCCCCAGGATGAAGCCTACTTGATCATATTGGATAAGCTTTTTGATTTGCTTTTGCAATCAGTGTGCCAGTATTTTACTGAGGATTTTTGTATCTATGTTCATCATGGATATTAGCCTGAAGTTTTCTTGTTTTTTTGGGTCTCTGCCAGGTTTTGGTATCAGGATGATGTTGGTCTCATAAAATTGAGAAGGATTCCCTCTTTTTGAATTGTTGGGAATAGTTTCAGAAGGAGTGGTACCAGCTCATCTTTGTACACCTGGTACAATTTGGCTGTGAACCCATCTGGACCTGGGCTTTTTTTGGTTGGTAGGCTATTAATTGCTGCCTCAACTTCAGCCCTTGTTTTGGTCTCTTGAAGGTTTCAACTTCTTCCTGATTTAGGCTTAGAAGGGTGCATGTGTCCAGGAATTTATCCATTTCTTCCAGGTTTACTGGTTTACATGCAGAGAGCTGTCTGTAGTAATCTCTGATGGTAGTTTGTATTTCTGTGGAATCAGTGGTGATAGCCCCTTTATCATTTTTTATTGCATCTATTTGATTCTTCTCTCTTTTCTTTCTATTTATCTGGCTAGCAGTCTGTGTATTTTGTTTATGTTTTCAAAAAACCAGCTCATGGATTTATTGATTTTTTGAAGGATTTTGTGTGTGTGTTTATCGCCTTCAGTTTTGTGCTGATCCTGTTATTTCTTGTTTTCTGCTAGCTTCTGAGTTTTTTTGATCTTGCTCCTCTAGCTCATTTAATTTTGATGATAGAGTGTCAATTTTAGATCTTTCCTTGCTTCTCATGTGGGCGTTTACTGCTATAAATTTCCCTCTAGACTAAGACGGCCAAATAGGAACAGTTCTGGAGTGTAGTTCCCAGCAAGAACAATGCGGAGGATTAGTCATCACCGCATTCCCAAATGAGTTTTTACTGCCCACAGACCAGGAAATTCCCAAGCTGAAATATGCCACAAGTTTCCAGCATGTCTGTTTCAGCTGGTACTACAGGTCTTTGCACAAAAACACACACAAATCTGGGTGGCTCTTTCAACTGGTGCCTGGAATGCCTGGGTTACAGAGCTGCACATTCAACTAAAAAAAGGGGGGCTGAAACATGGAGCCAGGTGATCTGGCTCAGCGGGTCACACCCCTTACAAAGACCAGCAATCTGCTATGCTCTGGATTGAGAGTTTCGCAGCAAGTGCAGCTGGATGCAGGATGGTCCAGCTTGGCGGGGGAAAGGGCATCAGCCATTACCAAGGCAGTCCACCACTACCGAGGTAGTCCACCATTACCAAGGCAATCGGCCATTACTGAGGCAGTCCACCATTACTGAGGCAATCCACCACTACTAAGGTAGACCGCCATTACTGAGGCAGCTCTAATCATACCTATGTAAACAAAACTGCAAGGAAGTTCACACAGCAGCTGGGCAAAGCCCACGGCAGCTCAGCAACATCTCTGCTGGCAGACTGT